GGTAGGTGTAAATTAAAAAAAAAAAAAAAAATTAAACCTTCCTTTATTTAGCTATTTATGATTTTCCACAACTGCATCCAACTTTACTATAATTTTGCAACAAGCTTTTCTATAATTTTATTTTTTTGTTAAAAACTAAGATTATGTTTTTATGGTAAGGAAAGATTATTCTCGTTTTTTCAGAATTGTTTTCTTTAAATAAAGGGATCGTCCATAACTTACGCAATGCTTATTATAAAAATATAAGTAGGAGAATATTTTGCTCTTTTGAGCGGCGGCTATCGCTGGACTTCAAGGGTTGTTTATACATGGTTTAATTAAAGACGGGAAAACTTTTAACACTTTTTCTTTTGTTTATTAGTTAAATTTCGCGTTACGTAATTTATGGACGATGCAAAGGTTAAAAAATTCCTTTGACTGTAAGCGTATTTGAAGCGATTTATATTCCCTGTAGTTAGAATTTTTTACATACGCATCCAAACATCCGCAAGTTACTTGAAATTGCAGTTATTTAAAAAAATTTATGTTTCCATTGACTAAAAGCCTGTCAGGTATTCAAATTCGGTCAAAAATGTTCTGGCTTGCGTTGTTTAAAACCGGAGAAAACTAAAAAAAAAACCAAACAGTTAATGTTTTCTCCAAAAAGCTCTTTTCAATTGAAAAATCAGTTTGTATAATATATTCTTTATCTTACAAATACTAGTTAACTGTTAACAAGAACTTGACTTCTGTTTTATTATCTTGCAAGTTCTTATTAATGATAATTAATAATATAATTAATAATATTTGTAATTTGATAAATAATAATATTTGTAAGATATTACAAATACTAGTTAACTGTTAACAAGAACTGTTAACAAGAATTTGTCACCTTTTTGGGGAAAAGAGTTGGTAAATAATAATTTAATAACTTACTATAAACTCGATATATTTGTAAACACTGCATTGCAAAAGATGTAAGCAGTGAAGTTAAAATTATTTTTTCTTTTTTGAAACGAATTTCTGTGATGATAACAGAAATTAGTATAATTAGCGGCTATCATCTAATGAAAACGCTATTTAATTTTTTCTTTGTTAAAATATTTTATTATTATCACGCTTTATAAATCCATGGCGAAAAACTTCTGTGCTAAAATTTAATAAAAATTAAATAAAAATTTCATTTTTCATAAAGCAAAATATGTTAGCCAGAAATTCGTAGCGCTTGTGTTTGAAAAAAATGCATAGAAACATTTAGTTTTGACTATGTTTAAACGTACTATTTTTGTGTAAAATAAGGATGCTCAAATTACCCAGTGTTTTTATTGACTTACCCAGTTTAGAGTCCTAAAATTGCAGTAGCTTTAACTACTTTTTGAATAAAGGCAAAACATAGTAAAAATTCTGATATTTTAACAAAACTAATAATATCTTTCTGCAATTTATTTTTTAAAAATTTTGTATTTTTAAAAAATAATTATAATATTGTTTTGAGATTTGACTTAATAAAATTGAATAACAAACTGTTTTGTTGTTGTTGTTGTTGTTGTTGTTGTTGTTGTTGTTGTTGTTGTTGTTGTTGTTGTTGTTGTTGTTGCGTAAAACAATTAGGGGAAAGGGTTGCATAAGTTGGGCATGTTAACATTGCATTGTTTTTTTTTACAGTCGAAATATTATATTTATATTTGTTTTTGCATGTTATAATAATTTAGTCTTTCCTTCTAATAAATAATTACATATTAAAAAAAAAAATCAAGTAAAGTTATCCTTAAAAGCTATAATAAAGAGGATAGAGTTTTTTATTTTAGCCAACTTGTTTTATTTCTAGAATAAAACTTAGAAAATTAAATTTAATAATTTAATTAATAACTACCAAAATATAACAGGTTAAACTTGTGAGACTATTTAAAATAAAATTAGAAACTTGTCTCGAGTACTTACAGTATTCATAAACCCATAAGGTTTTATGAGTAAGCATCATTTATAAGCATCATTTAAAAAGTTAATAAAAAGTATAAAACTCAAAGAAAACACAAATTTTTACTTGAAAGAAAAACATGTTATTAATTAAAACCCAAATAATGTAATCCGATGGTTCAAACCACATTTTAGAATTCCAGATAATATATTGTTTTAAATGTCATTCTTATGCCTAAATATATTGTTTTAAATGTCATTCTTATGCCTCAATAAAAAATAGCTTATGACTAAGCTATTTTTTATTGAGGCATATCATATAATATGTATCATAATTTTATCTCTAAGTGTTATATTTAAATAAGCTTCTTAAACATTGACTGTAAATTTTAGAATAAATAATTTTTTGAATTGTCTATGACACAACAGAGTACTGTTCTACAGTTTAAAGGCCCCTGCTAATGCTATATTAGGTTACCCCATACTTACTTATACAAAACAATCGCTTCAACTTAATTTTTTATTAGTTTTATTAAATGAAGTTAGATCCTATGGATTATAGTTTATCATATGAAGTTACGTGCCAATTGACGCATTGAATAACATGTATTAAAAATTAGCAATTTTAAAAAATTACATTGCCTTTAAATCATAAAAACCAAGTTCTATCCATTGCAGGTTTAATGATATCAAATAATACAACTTTTTAGTCAAACATAACCCCAGTAGTAACTGTTGTACCATATGAAAGTGGTTGTCACCACTCTTTAGATGGCTTTACAATTACATTGCATCATGGTGCCTCATGTTTCACGATGCCTCACTCACCCTATAAATCTTTGGATGTTTTGTAAAAAACTTTATTTATTTTTTTATAAAATAAACTTGTAAATGGAGAAAAAAGCCATCACAGAAACTTTTTTAATAGTAAATTTCGATTTTATTTTTAACTACTTTTTCTTTTAACTTTTATTGATTTATTTTTATATTTTGGCTTCCTACATTTGTTATTTTTTGTAAAAGGGATTTTAAAATCTAATGGGATAAGTGATAAAGTTTTTTAAAAAATATATATGAGTATAGAATAATATTGAATAAATATAAGTATTGAATACGGTAACAGTCAAGTTATAAAAAGCAGACCTAAAATACTCAAAGAATAAAGTTTTAAATAATTTTTAAAACAAATGGATTTTAGTAAAATTTTTATATAGAAACATTACATAGAACCTAAAAAGCAAAGTTAACTTCTGAGATAAGAATGAAGTATTATGTTATCTCTGACTTTTAAAACCATGACGCAACATTATTATTTTTTATTTTTTGAGAACCATTTAAATGCAGAGCTATCTAAAAAAAGGAGACGTTTTGCGTTTTATTTTGATTAACAAACTTCTATACCTTTTGTTATTTATTTCATTTTATGACTCTGGTTTAATTCTGGTAAAATTCATATTTTTTAAAACAACTTTTTATAGTCTTTTTTAACACTAGCAGTAAGCAACACGTAATACGGGTTGTTAGTAAATAAAATTAAAAAAAACCCCGCGTATAGAAAAGCCTAGAAACTACTTTAAAATAGAAAAGCCTAGAAAATGACGTAATTCGACTATTAATATTATTAAATTAGCGTATCAATATTATCAGATTCACAAAACAGCTATGTTATAAATTTTTTTATTTGTGTAATAATTTAAATATGCAAATAGATATGTATTAGGGGCCATCTATAAAGGACGTCACCATTTTTTCAGCCAATTTTTGACCCCCTCCCCCCCTTTGTCACCGGTTGTCCTTTTTCCCTATACTCCCCTTGAAAAGGACGTCATAAAATCCTGAACCCCCCCTCCCCTATTTTTAACTCCAAAAAAATTTATCTCATCTCGCAATGATGTTTGAATCTGCTGCTACACCTTTGAAAAATAAAATTAAAAATATTCTCATACATTATCTTCTTAAAAACACATGTTTACGTAGTTTTCCATGTTAATTAAACTAAAATAAAAAATCTATAAAGTGACGTCCTTTTCTGACAACCTCCCCCCTCCCCTTGCCCTTTTTTGTCCTTTTTAACTCGACCTAGTAAAAAAGCCGACTGATTATAATTTTTATTATTTTTCATTGTTAAACGGAATCATTCTTGCATAGTAGCGTTGATTACAAAGAACCAAATATAAAGTGTATTTGCAGTAGTAATAAGTTTTACGAACTTCGGGTTTACTCATTAGTTTGCGTAATTTGAATGTGACCTCGAGTGTAAATATAATTGAACCCGTCATTTCGAAAAGGGCATAAGTCCAATTATTCAAACTTTTCAGCATCAACAAAAATAAGTTTATTAGAAAAAAAGTATATGGTGCTAAACAAACTAAATATAGAAGTAGATAAAAAAAATGATGCATAAATTTTTTAGAGTTTTATTTTTTATAAAAAATAAACATATAGTACATATATTTTAAATTTAAATTTATGGACTTATGCCTTTTTCGAAATGAACACTATGTTGTATATAAAAATCCGAAGATTATCAGAATAATAATGATTTATTATTACATTAAAACAAGTTAATTGTCACTTATTTCTTGGAATTCATTGTTTGCAGAAGTTGTTGGCCAAGCAAAAACCTCTGTATAAAAGTTTTGATACTCTTCTATTGAATATGGAATTTTTCTATTTCCTTCAAATCTGATATTTTTTTTTCATTGATAGGCAATTTTCCAGCATATGCAGGAGTACTACTTGATGGCAAGGTTGGCCTTGTACCCATCCTTTGTAATAGCTGGAAATCATAACTGACTAAGCAATCTATAGATTCTCGTGTTGTCACTAAACCTGGTGTGGTCTTAGAAAAAATAAAATGTGACACTTTAGAAATACCAAAAGTTACTTTCTTGTTCTTGGGTACTCCTCTTCCGTAGGAATCCACAGATAGCACAAGTTTCTTATAATGGTTTGGCCACCATTTTTTTACATTAATAATATCTTCAGTTTTAGGCCTTCTAATTTCAAATTTTTCGTTTGCCTCGCATATAAGATTTTCATACTCGGTTGGTGTGTAAATCCGATCATTTTTTCGAATTTGTCGCTTTGCTGTTCCAAACATTCTATCGTTTGGCAAGAATGAGTGACCTCTTTTTGGTAGGTAATATTTGTATTGCATTTATATTGCTACCTAGTTCAGCTACCAGGGATAAAAGTAATCGGATCATGGCATGATTTCTATTTTGGCCTGCACAACCATCAGAAAATAGGTGCAGTTCTTTGGCTTCGTTGCCAATATTATTTTTAATATAATCCAGCACAAAGGTACATACTTCGTTGGGACCTTTGTTAGCAACTCCTTCACAATATGAATAAAATACTGATTTACCAGTTTTTAAATCGTATATGCAAAACTCATACAACCATAGTTGACGTAGGTAAAATATTTCCTGGACAGGGATATGTGGAAGTGGCAAATTTTGCATAAAATCAAATGCTATCCCATACACATTTGGATCATTTTTGCACTTAGTTTCAACTTCCTGAATTTTTTTGTAAAATTTGTTTGCCTGTGTTTTGTGTATCTCAATATCTGCTTGATAAATTGTTTTCGCATTGTCATTAAAGTGTGGGTTTTTAAGCTTAATTTGTAACTCTTCGCACAGTCCACAGACATCAATTTGCTTTCTACCAAACGATAAACTAAAATTTTCTTGGAAATATTTAAGGTAAAATTTATATTTAACAGGATGACCTGGATATTTTTGTTTGTATAATGTGTGCATAATTTTCACATTGAGTTTTTCATCCAAATAATAAGATGATGCATCTTTGTTATAGTAGTGCACATATTTAACAGGAAATGATTCAATATGCTCACGTACTTTTGTTAATGTACCACCAGGTAATGAGTTGCATCGTGATCCCTGGGATTTCCCTCTGTGATCTATAGGCTGCTCATTTTTTTTTAAGAAAATGCATAAACGTCTAACTTGTTTCATAGAAATTCCAAGCATACTGCAAAAAGCTTTCTTGCATACTTTTTTTCTCACACCTTCAATCATAATGTGATAAATAAAGGAAAATTCTTTTTTCTTAGGTTCTTCAGATCTAAACCGTCTTCTCTCTATTTCCTTTTTTTCAATCAATGACTGCAAGTATGTGTCTTGGGCATTTTTACTATCGAATTTGTTAACAAACTGAACTGTACTTTTCATAACATCTTCAGATACAAGCTCCATACATTTTGAATTACATCTGTAAATAAAAGAAACTATCAATGTAATATTTTATTAATTATATATCAAGATGTTTTAACTTCAAATATTGGTAGTAAAAAATGAGTAAATAAACAAAAACTTGAGAACAAATATAGTCTATATTCTATGTATTTTGTAGAACAAAAAACTAACTTGCATGAAGCACCCGTCTGCCTTGGTGCCACATCATTTCCTTTGTGGTTTTTATAAGCTTCTCCAGACACTTTGGCTTTTTTTATTTTTGAGTGTTTATAATTTTCACTGTTCCTTATACCAGATACTCTTTTTCTAGAGGTATATGCATTTTCAGCAAGCTCGCGATTTTCCATTTTTGTAACAAATAAAGTTAGATTACGTCACTTCAGTTGCGCTTCGTTTCACTTGAAAAAGGCATAAGTCCGGGACTTGTGCCATTTTCAAATAGACTTGAATTTTCATTTGCATTTAAAGTTGACTTGTGGTTTATGAAAATGTGTCTCCTTTAAAGGGAATATGTAACACAACTAAATTAAAAAAACTGCATTCAAAAGTGAAATTCGAAAAAAGTGTGACTTGTGCCCTTTTCGAAATGACGGGTTCAATTGTTTTTTAAAACGAAACTTGATATATTTAGAGTAAATAACCAGGTTTTTTTTTTAAAAAGCAATTTAGCGCTAGAGATTGTACAAGATTTTATTCCAACATTTTAATATTGACCCGGTGCTGGGTACCCGGAATCGGGAACTCAGCATCTGCAAACTGGTTCCGGTACATCTTTATTTTGCACTGTTTTTGTATCTGCTTCATAGACATAATGATTTTTCTTGAAACAAACAAAAAAATTCTCTTAGATGAATAATAAGTTCTTATATATAAGAAATTTATTGAATCATTTAATAATCTTTTTGGTGAGTTTAAGATTTCAGCAAATGTTTTTGTAAAAAAAAAAAATATATTTATACTGATACTAATTGAATATGAGATGTTTTGAATAAGATGAAGTATTTTAATTAACACTTTACATAGAAAAGAAGTAGTAATTCACAAATAAAACGCTATAATCTAAACTAGATAAAGGAAACAAATTAGTAAAATTTATATTGCATAATAAAAGTAAAGTTCTAGAAATATTATTTAATGACACTCGAATATCAGATTAATAAAGTATATTAAATATGGACAAAATAATTAAGGGGCCATCCATAAAAGACGTCATCCAAATAGGGGGGGGGGAGGACTCATACTTAAGCTGGTCCCGACAGTACGACTTAAATTTACTGTCAATATAACTTATGATAAACTTGTACATATAAATATTTAAAAAACTATATCATTAGATCATGTCACTAATAATATGCTTTTGTTTTAAAATAGATCTCAAAAAGGTATAAAGTTTTTTAATACCGTTATAAACTTATGCAATGTTATTCATAAAATGGTTAACTAATATTATTTCTATCTATGAGATATAAAACTGACAAATAAAATTTTTGTTGTAGTTACAAAAATAAAATTTAAAAAAAGGTAGTAAACGATATTTTAAAAATAAATACCCATTAAAACAATGCATTAACATATTTATTAAAACTTACTAAACAAATTTGCAACGCAGTGTTATTTCATTCATAAAATAAGAATATTTAGATTATTTTCATTTACACTATTGAGCAATAAATTTGTTCTCAGTTTAGAAAATAAAAGGATAAAAAAAGTATTAAAGATTTTTCCAAGTTTTTAAAATTTCTAAATTTTCAAAAGTTGTCAAAAATAGAAAACTCTCTGTTACTCTACTGCATTAAAAAAAATGTTTATTTAAATAAATGATTTTTAGTTTTCTTACTTTCTCAGTTTATTTAAATAAATTATTTTTAGTTTTCTTACTTGGCTTGGTTTTTACTCTATGAGCTCTGTAGCCTTTGCGGCACATTTTTTTGAAAATATTAAAGTGTAGTCTCAAAGAGTAAGAATTTGGTTAACTTATAAAATTTGCATTCATTTACAAAAAAAAAATTCTTAAGGCCTTACCAAGCCCTCAAAAAAAAAAGAAAAAATTGCGCCAACTGGGTGCCACCACTGGGTAAGTTAGTGCAAACTAGAAAAATGATTATTAATGTACTATTAAGTGCAAAATTAATAAAAAGTTTTTTAATATTAACTAGTAAACCAATTGTGACTGGAACTTTTACAATATATTTTTTTTCATTTGACTGATTATTTTTTTTTGTAAAGTAAAAAGGAACCGATGTTCCATAAGTTACGTTTTTGTCCGAGAAACACAAAATCTCAACATCTCCCATGCGCATGCACGAATCCTGACAATACTACAGTGAATGATAAAATGGTCAATTAGGAAAGTTCTGTGTAATTTTTTATGATAAAAGGCTCTTACCCATGATAAAAGGCTCTTACCCATGCGGCCAACTAGCCCCTGTCCTCCCGGGGCTAGTTAGTGAGAGAAGAAATTATTAGATTATTCTGATAATAAAACATTATGTTTAATAGCAAAATTATAAGAAAAGAGCAAAGGCATGTTCTCAGCTGGTAGGACAGTATATTTCCACCAGCAGAAAATATGCGCTCTGTTATAGATGTTGAGAAATCTTAACTAAATTATTTAAAAAATTTAAATAAGGAAACAAAAATTTAAATTTTTATTTGCTTGTTTAAGTTATATTATTTATTTAATTAAATTATGTATTTATTAACAAAAAGTTAAATTTCGAAAATAATTCAAAACCTGAAAATACTGATGTTTCTAAAACCTTATTTTAAATTCGATGAGAAAATCCGCGCCAAATAAATTTTTCAATTAATTAACGTGAACAGTGACTTCGAACGTTGTTTACCTTTCGTTTAGTTTTCGTTTAAAAAAAGTAAAATTTTTATTCAAAATTGTAAAGTAAGCAGAGAGGATTCTGCGATCCTATTCGAACGTGTGTGTAATTGAAATCAGCTAATTTTATTTACCTATAAGTGCTTTTTTATTTTATCCAAAACTATTATTTTTTTATTTTTAACTTTGAGTTTTCATAAATTTTTAATTACAGTTTTTAACGGTTTGGGGGGAATGTTTCTCCACATACACACAAGGAAAATCAAATTTAACTCATAAACATTAATTATAAGAATATACCCAGCTGAAAAAAACGAGTTCTACAAACCCAAAAATCCAGTTCTACAAACCTTGTTTGTAGAACTGGATTTTGAAGACATTTTTATTAGACATTTTGTAACTTTTGAAAAATAACCCCTCTCTCGTAATAATTTAAAAGCACTCCTGTTTGTAGAGCATGTGTTTCGCTTTAATTTAAAGCAATAATTTATTGGTGAAATAATTGCAAAATAAAATAAAAGTGCAAAATTTGAAATGAATGAGAAAAAAAACTGCATTGGCATCATTTTTAAGTTTGCAAAAACGCTTTGTGGCATTCAAAATTTGCTATATATTAACGTATGGGCTGTCATCTAAATCGAAATCCATACGATCACGTATATACAAACCTGTTATATATCGTTAATATCTTCAAGTTTCGCTAATTTTTTTTAATTATTTTTTTTATTGGTAAAATACTTTTTTAAACCTAAATCTAAGGAAAAAAAAATTAAAAAAAAAACATTTATGGTGATAACTACCATTATAATATTAGTTACTATTATTATTGTTTTTTTCATTGCAAATATTGTAAGCATACTTTTTTATTACTATAATTTGTATTATTATTATTTTTTTATCTTATATTAATATAATATATTATTATTGCTATTATTTTTGCTATTATTATTATTACTATTACGGTGCAATACCATGATTTATTTTACTTACACTATTTTCATTAAAAAAAAAAAGACATAGGATTTTAAGGAGTCTGGAGTTAAATTTTTTAAAATTTAAACAAAATTAAAGCGTTTTTCGACGTCAACGAAACCTGTACACTGTACAACTCAAATTAATTTAAAACCGTAGTAATTAAGTTATAAAAATAGAATTGAAAATAATATATAGATTGTTCTTGTAGCACTAGTTATATGATAAATAAAGATTATTAGCATATATTTTTTTGGTTATGTTGATAAATATAATTTATTTTCAACGCTTTTACTTAATCGGCTTTCTGAAACATGCTTAAACTTTGTTTAAAGTGTTATTTTGAAACGTTTAAAAGTCCGTTTAAAGTGGACTTATTTACGTTTAAAACGTCACTTAAAATGGACTTACTTAAACTGTTTAAAATGTTGCTTAAAGTGAGCTTATTAAAAACATTTAAAACATTTAAAAATTTATTTACATTTAAACGCTTAAAACCTCGCTTGGAATGGACTTACTTAATTTGTTTGAAACAAATTAAAGTGAGCTTATTTAAAACATTTGAAACTTCGCTTAAAGTGGATTTATTTAAAATATGTTTGAAATTTCGCTTTAAATGGATTTATACAAAACATGTTGAAAAGTTTGCTTTAAATGGACTTTAAATTAAGTGTAAAAATAATGTGTAAGGGTTGCTTTAAATTTAGTTTTACAAATTATTTTATTGCTTTCTTACAGATAAACAAATTTAACTTTACCTTGGTTAATAAATTCTTTTAATTTAACTTGTAATAATAATTTTTTTTTTTTTTTAACAAAATCTATGCGTTAGTGACCTCATTAATTGCATTTTTTATGTTATATCTGTAGAAAGAAAGATTTAACATTTCATTTAAGTTTGGTTAGTATTAAATATTGTAAAGATTTATACACAAAACCTAGTCTCAAAATGTAAATCCACTTTAAGTGTTTTTTTGTACAGTGACGAAATATACATGGTCAAAATAACAAACACTTAAACTCAAAATTATGCTTTTAAAACAAAACTTCCTATCCGCAAACCTTTATAGAAGCAATAGTCCGATTAGAAAAACTTGCTATTAACTTTTCAACAGCTATAACTTAGTCTAAAAACTAATCAAAAACGTAAAGTGGACTCAAAAAAGTCCACTTTAAGCAAAAGTCCACTTTAAGTTAAGTTTTTACCAATGAAAAGGCCACTTTAAGTCGATCTAACAAAATATATATATATATATATATATAAATATATATATATATATATATATATATATATATATATATATATATATATATATATATATATATATATATATATATATATATATATATATATATATATATATATATATATATATATATATATATATATATATATATATATATATATATATATATATATATATGCTTTAAAGTGCAACAGTTTAAAACTATGTGTAGACTATAATGGTTTCCAACATCAACATTATAAAAAGTAATTTTATGTAAAAAAAAAAAAAAAAAAAAACAGAAACCGAATCTCCGAAACAAATAGATCCGGATCCGGATCTCAAATAACTGATGAGTACTCAGGTATTCGGTTCCAGATCTTGGATCCACCTATGCCCTAGATAGAAACAGTAACATTTTAACATTAAACTATACTTGTGTGGTTTGGGTGTTCAATATTATGTCATATTTAAATAAGAAAATAAACAAATTAAGGAAGTTTTAAAAAATTGTCTTTTTTCATAAACTTTTTCATAAAAAGCAAAATTACCCTTTTTTTTATGAAGAT